TTTTTACATTTTATGCCATACTATACTATGACGTTTTTTGACATTTTTATTCCATATTATACTATGACCTTTTTAGGTATCTTTATGCTTTAATATAGTATGTCGTTTAATTCCTTACCATACTATGACCTTTTTGTGAACTTTTATGCCTTAATATACCATGATGTTTTTTTGACATTTTATGCCATACTATACTATGACGTTTTTTGCCATTTTTTTTACCATAATATACTATGAAGTTTTTTGGAATTTTTATGCTTTAATATACTATGTTGTTTAATTCCTTAACATACTATGACCTTTTTATGACCTTTTATGCCTTTATATACTATGATGTTTTTTTGACATTTTATGCCATACTATACTATGACGTTTTATCACATTTTTGTGGCTTACTTTACTATGTCATTTCATTCCTTACCATACTATGACCTTTTTGTGAACTTTTATGCCTCAATATACCATGATGTTTTTTTGACATTTTATACCATCCTATACTATGATGTTTTTTGACATTTTTTTGCCATAATATAGTATGAGGTTTTTTTTTAATTTTTATGCTTTAATATACTATGTTGTTTAATTCCTTACCATACTATGACCTTTTTATGAACTTTTATGCCTTAATATATTATGACGTTTTTTTTCACATTTTATGCCATACTTTACTATGTCGTTTTATTCCTTACCATACTATGACGTTTTTATGGACTTTTATGCCTTAATATACCATGATGTTTTTTTAACATTTTATACCATACTATATTATGACGTTTTTTGCCAATTTTCTGCCTTAATATACTATATTGTTTTTTGGAATTTTTATGCTTTAATATAGGATGTTGTTTAATTCCTTACCATACTATGACCTTTTTATGAACTTTTATGCCTTAATATACTATGATGTTTTTTTTGACGTTTTATGCCATACTATACTATGACGTTTTATCACATTTTTGTGGCTTACTTTACTATGTCATTTCATTCCTTACCATACTATGACCTTTTTATGACCTTTTATGCCTTAATATACCATGATGTTTTTTTGACATTTTGTACCATACTATAGTATGATGTTTTTTGTCATTTTTTTTGCCATAATATAGTATGAGGTTTTTTGAATTTTCATTCTTTAATATACTATGTCGTTTAATTCCTTGCCATACTAGGACGTTTTTATGGTCTTTTATGCCTTAATATACCATGATGTTTTTTTGACATTTTATACCATACTATACTATGACGTTTTTTGCCATTTTTATACCATACTATACTATGACATTTTTTGCCATTTTTTACCATAATATACTATGACGTTTTTTGGAATTTTTATGCCTTAATATACTATGTCGTTTAATTCCTTACCATTCTATGAGGTTTTTATGACCTTTTATGCCTTAATATACTATGATGTTTTTTTTACATCTTATGCCATACTATACTATGACGTCTTTTGACATTTTTATTCCATATTATACTATGACCTTTTCAGGTATCTTTATGCTTTAATATAGTATGTCGTTTAATTCCTTACCATACTATGACCTTTTTGTGAACTTTTATGCCTTAATATACCATGATGTTTTTTTGACATTTTATGCCATACTATACTATGACGTTTTTTGCCATTTTTTTTACCATAATATACTATGAAGTTTTTTGGAATTTTTATGCTTTAATATACTATGTTGTTTAATTCCTTAACATACTATGACCTTTTTATGACCTTTTATGCCTTTATATACTATGATGTTTTTTTGACATTTTATGCCATACTATACTATGACGTTTTATCACATTTTTGTGGCTTACTTTACTATGTCATTTCATTCCTTACCATACTATGACCTTTTTGTGAACTTTTATGCCTTAATATACCATGATGTTTTTTTGACATTTTATGCCATACTATACTATGA